CACTAAGAAAGGAAAAGGAGGGTTCAGAGCCAACTATCGTCAAATTCCAGCTACCAAAGAGCTGCTAAACAACTCCACGACTCAGAGAGACGGCTCTGTCTGGTAGCATTTGAGTTTTACACCTTGTTCCTTCACAATGGGAAGAAATGTAAAATGAAAGCTGCGATGATGAAAACAAAGTCTTGTGCCTGCACTCCTTTTACAGTGAGCGTACCAGACACAAGTTGTAATAAAAAGCTCGTCCATGTTCATGAAGTTAAGCAACGTGAATGTGTCAAAAACATTAAAGAAACGTTGGTGGAGGAAACCTTTTCTACGTTTTCTTCTGCACTCCCCCAAATGAAACATCAGATACCGTACAGTATACAGCAGAAACCCTTTCAGGAAGTCATAGGTCATGCATTCTGAAACACCAAGTCTGTCTTTGAGGATTGTTCCAGAATATTGTTTTTTAAAGCTCAAATATTAATTCCCCCAGTTTGGCCTTCGCCCCGAGTCGGCCAGGATAGGCTCCAGCTCCCCCCCATGAACCTAATGAGGATTAAGCGGTGTATAGATAACGGATGGATGGATCCCCCAGTTTGTCACTGAAGGTATAAAAGTTGTACTTTTTGGAGCATAACTGCTGAACCATATACAGGTACACTTTCTTGTAAGTCTATTTTTGCAGCTGAGAATGACTTTAAAAATCTGCGTTGTGACATTTATTTCACTTGCAGGCATCACGCTGCACTAAGCTTTTCTTGTTGGAGGGAGATAACTAACCAGAATGAGTCATAATAGGATCTCTCACCAGCTATACACTCGAGAACACTCCTAAAAGTACGCGATGAGACCGAACCAGAAGCCATCCTGTTAAGGAATGAACCCTAATCTGTGCAGTGGTGGTTTGCTGGGTGACCCATCCATGTGCTGAGTAAACCGACTTTAGTAAGAATAACTCCTGCTGAATTTGCTGTCAGAAATGTCTTTGTATTCTTGTGCTGGAGTCAAAGATATCCATCAGGGCCTATTATGTGACTCATAATGTATGTACTTGTCTTGACAAACGTCCTGTACATCTATTGTAAAGTCCGCATGGTCAATAGGGTGAGAGGATGGAGGGGGATTTCCATTTAAGTACAGTGAATCGAAGCTTGCTGCTAATGAAAAGGAGTATTTATTAGGCTGCCAATCTGAGCGTCAGCCAACTCCCTCGAGGGCTTACTGAGGCCTGGGATCCAATCTACCCGGCAGATAGAAGGCATATCAGACGCAGGGTCAATCAAATGTGAGGTGTTTCAACTGGGCTTGTAAAAAAAAAAAATGATGAAAGTCGCGGCTTGGAGTTACAGCGGACAGGGAAATATGGGTTTAGTGTTTGAACAATGCCTTTCAGTCTCCTTTATCTTCCCATGGATGCCTGTGGCCACAGCGGTGCCCCAGCAAGTGTTCGCTGCAAAATCTCCACTCCCACACCCCATTACAGCACAAACACGCACACACACAGAAGAATGTAGCATGAGGGACCACCAGCTGTTGCAGTGACCGATACGGGTAACGCCCAAAATACTTCTATCATCAAAATCCCTCCTTTCTCATTCACTTATACACCTACACGGACAGGCTCTGTGCACTCTTGATCTCTTTCCAGACGATCTCTTTTCCGACTGATCAATTAAATCATCCAGCGAGTCACCAACACAGTCTCTTATGAATGAGACAAGAGCTCATCGAGACTCAGCAAGTGATCCCATCCTATCCCTGTCAATTCTTTCCCGCTTTAATGATTGTGCACCACGCAGCTGATGCCTGCAGCTCTAAAAAATGCCGCTAAAAATACACCTCGCGTCCTACTACAGTATGTGACACCTGAGCTGTACGCACGAGAAAGCCTGGCCAAGGAGGCATCTGATTTCAAAAGCATTAACGCTCATCCCGTTTTATTGTTCCCACTTACTTTCAGTTCTCACGCTGTTGAAAGACAAACTACTTAACCCACAGTGCGGCCGACACTTGACACGCATAAATCATAAAACCTCATCCCTGCTGCATACATGGCCAGCGGTCTTACTTTTATGACTCATGGAAAAGGCTAGAAAGTGGTCGTTTCAGCTGCGGAGCATCGCTTTTCAATAACCAGCTGCAGCTGAAGTGGCCTTCGACCCATTCTTCTTTATGTGCCTGAGAGGTTCGAGGTCAGAATGCCAACCTAACCACTTCCTGTGTGCCACTTACAATGGGAATAATCACGACACCATTTGATTTCAGACGCTCTGCATGCGGAAAATGGAAACAGCCCCTCAGTGCTGTTCTGGATTTTGAGGCACAAAGCTGACAAAACGTTATTGGACAGGTCAGAAATAAAACCAAATGTATAGTATTGTATGTATGTATGTATGTATTAGTGGCATCATTAGAATATTGTTGGATAATGAAACCTAAAACCCTCATTCTTCTTTTTTGAAATGGTAAAAAAGTAAAGTCTTTTTTTTTGTTTGTTTTTTTCTCCTTTGCCACCAACAATATCAATAGTTCTATTTATTGTCTAATAGCTAATTTTATTTTTCAACTACTATGTTTTCCTTTTTTTCTGGCACACACTCCCTCAGTTATTTCCCATTTCCCTCGAGTAATTTCTTTTATTTTTCTGTCTGAATTTTTGTAGCTTTACAGACGCAAATGCGACACTGAAATGGGCCTGGAAAACAGCATACCGTCGAAGATTAGGATAATATTATAAAGGCAGGTTAACTGATTAATATTATAAAAAACCCATAAGGCATGTAGAAGCCAATAATGCAATATCACCCGACAACATAATAACATCATAAATTTACACTTTTTAAAATGTAATAGACCAATATATAATAACTGGTCAATAACGTAATAAAGTCCTGAGCCGATAACGTAATACCTTTTGGCCAATAATGTAATAAGTTACTACGTTTTTGGCCTGGTAAAAAAAAAAAAAAACAATATTGTTTGCAAATGTAATAACCAGCCAATAACATAATAAGTTATTACATGATTGGCCAGAAGTTATTACGTTATCGGTTCAGGACTTCAATTATGCTATTGGCCAGTTATTATGTTATTGGCCTATTACATTTTTAAAATGGCATATTTATTACATTATCGGCTTCTACAAGGCAGAAATGTCAGGATATGTATTGTAGGTTAACTGTGGTACCTGTTTGTGCCACCAACCCAAGGAGGCTGCTCCATGTTGGCGAGCAGAGAGCACTGTGCAGGTGTAGCTAGCCGTGGGCCACCATGACAGACGCTTCTGTGCTGGTTAATGGTTTCCTGCCGGTGTTTTCATTTTGAAAGTGAGCTGTAATTTACCAAAATATCGTTCGTATAGCCAAGTACCTGATGCAACCAAGACGGCTATACGGCAAATGTTAGGCGTTCGTAGGTAATAATGGCTTTTGGAAACATGTCCACCGTACTTCATGTGTTTTCGAAATTTGTTCTAGTTCTTCGATCCGCATAGCTTTAAAAAATCTCTTGCAGCCATGTCTTGCAGCTATTAAATCTATGGTAGAGGTGGACACACCCACAGGGAGCGGAAACAGAATGACGCAAACACACACACTGTGGCACATCGGTGTTAGAGATGCTGATCTTTGCTTCTGATTACATAAAGTATCCGTCATAAAAAAAATTTTAGAAAGCAAAAATAAAACAGGATTTAGCGTTAATTTTAGCAGTAACGTATCAGGATACTTTCCCAGTTATAGTTCAGTATACCATGCAACATTAGTTTATACAGTAAAGCTATAGCAGGAAGCAGCACATGAATGATTGATATTAAAAACAATACGATCGATTGACTGGTGAAGAAAAAATATCAAAAGCTTTTTGTTTTATCTGCCACTTGGGGCGTAAAGGAGGAAAAAAAAAATCATTTTTATGTTCAACTGTAAGTGACTCCACATAGTTAGCAAACAAGAGTTCCAAACTGAACTCAGGTCAGTGTTTCTGATAATGCAATAACACGCACGCTTCCATTCATCCCCCACTGTCCAGGGTGGGTAATGCGATACTGTGCTTCGGAGCAGACCCTCAGCTAGCAGATGGTCAGCTATTCAACTACGCCTGGATGCTGGGACCCACATGATTGAGGCTCGAGTCTGGACTTTACAGCCACAGGAATCTGTTCTATAAGAAATGTGCTGTCAAAACATCTGACCCTCTTTAAACACATCTGAGAAGAAAAGCTTCTTCTCCACTGCTGCTTCTCAAACAGTGTTTGATTCTGATCAGTTTCGAAGCTGTTTCTTGTGTTGCCAGATTAAATCTGACAGCTGTTACAGAACACTGGAACCAGCTGCCCAACTGAACTCCATCTTCCTTTTTTAGTCATTTCAACAAATCCGTGAACCGGCGCTCTCTGCAACACCTAGAGGCTCCATCATTGTTCCACCAACACGTGCTACAAACATCATCCGCAACCGTCGACCTGCGGTGACACAGATTCCAGAAAGTGATCACACATCTGAAAGTCAAGTTCAGTGAACACGGACAAAAAGTGGTTCCTTTTTTTTTTTGTTATGTTTTGTTTTTCTAAATGAGGCAATAAATAGGCAGCTGTGTGTATCCAGCAGAATGCTAGCAGGTGAACAAGGCATTTGACATTTGGCTCGCACAGCTCACACACATTCCTGTATCAGCTGACAAAAGAGTGTGTGCATGGTGGTCCCCGGTGTGTGTCCACTGTGGACAGCAGTGTAGTCAGTGTGTGTGTGTGTGTTGGGTAAACTGGCACATAGATTGTGTTTTTTTTAAGACAAACTTTTTGTTATAGTCAACAAGCTGCTACAACACCTAAAGCAGAAAGTAGTATTCTGATGAGGCACCTTATTGAATTGCAGTCTATAATATTAATAATGATAAATGAAAAACACAACATCCATCATGTCAACACAGTCATTTATCAGGAGGTTTTCATTTACAAAGCAACAGCAAAAAGACAACGAGTGATCAAAACAAAGTCTATGTTGTCTTCTCCTTACCTGTTAGACGGAAACCGGCTGTTGAGTGAAACAAGAGACTCGCATCCACAAGAAGAAATTATCTGATGAGGTCCAGCTCTGCTTCACCAAACCGAGACACAAAAAAGGAATAAAAAGAAAATAAAAGAAAGTAAAGCGTAGCGTAGTTTTTTTTTTTTTTTCTTTCCTTTTCTCACAAAGTAACTGTTCTAAAAGTAGAAAGAAAGTCCGAGTCCGGAGAGCCGTGTAATGTGTGAGTGGGTGTTCCCCTCAGAACCGGCGTCTGTCTCTGTTGTTTGGCCGCAGTGGGCGCTCAGGACGGGCAGCTCTCCACATCTGAGCGGCTTCGGCAGCAGCGAGCGGCGGAGCGGAGCCGGCAGCCGAGCGCCGCCTTCACAATAAAAGACCCAAACCTGTCCGCCGGAAGTGGAATACACATAGCATTGTTTTAAATAAAAAATTAAATATGAAACTGTTATTGTTGTCGTTGATGATGTAATCATTGCTACTACTACTACTACTAACAATAATAACAATAACAATAACAATAACAAACCATCCATCCATTATCCATACTCCGCTTAATCCTCACTTGGGTCGCGGGGGCTGGAGTCTATCCCAGCTGACTTAGGGTGAAGGCAGGGGACACCCTGGACAGGTCACCAGTCTATCACAGGGCTACACTTAGAGACAGACAACCAAGCACACTCACATTCACACCTACAAACAATTTAGAATCACCAATTAACCTCAACATGTTTTTGGACCTTTTGGGGGGAAGCTGGAGAACCTGGAGAGAACCCACACTGCACGGGGAGAACATGCAAACTCCACACAGAAAGATCCCGGGTGTCACATCCAAGATGTTATAATAATAATAATTCTTAATGTTGTCGTTGCATTACTACATAGAAGGCAATACATCCACCAAGTTTGAAGTAAATCAAGTAAACAGTTGTCAAGAAAAGTAAAGAACAGAACAGAATAGAATAGAATAGACTCAAGGAGCAACTCCTTCAAAGTGCAGATGTAATTGCTCAAAGCGTTCATACGAAAAATAAGTTAAAAAAAAATTAAATAAAACAGTTTTTAAGTAAAGTAAAAGGGACTGATAGACACATAATCCTGTCAGGATCCCTGGTCCTGGTTTGCTGCAGTCTCCATTCCCTCCCCGTCTTCGTAGGTGCACCTACCTGAGCAGCGACAGCCTCATCTGCCACCAGTCGACACTCCTCCCAATTAAAACTCTGTCTCAGACTCCATTCTCTGCCAGATCGTCAACTCAACCTCAAGTTGCTGACAAAGTTTGTTCTCTCAGTCTGTCCTTGTAATTTGCTCTGCGTTGCTCCTTAGTTTTTGTTGTTTGCCCTCCTGCTTGGTCTTGAGTTTAGTTTGCGGTTGCCCACTCTCCCCAGTTCACTTCCCTGGGTGGTTTGGTTGCTAGTTGTTTGATTTTGCATTGTATTAGCACTTATTGTACATTAACACCTTTTTCAGTCAGTCGCTGGTCTCCTCAGCCTCACTAGTGTCTGCACTCGTGTTCTCTGACCCACTGTGACAGAATTCAGCATTTATTAGTGAGAATATTAATACTATTTAAATAAAATAGAATACAAAGCTTTTACTATTATTACACAATGCACAGTGAGATTCGGGGAGCAACTCCTTCAAAGTGCTGTTACAGTACGTATATATAAAACTTGCATCATCCCACTGTCTAAACTGCAATATTTATATTTATTTTTTTCATTGGTCTGGAATCCGCAATTGGAAAAAGGATGAGGGGGCATCAGTGTGTTCTAAGTTAGGAGTGGTAACTGTCCTGAGGAAGAAACTGTTTCTGAATTTATTTGTCTATTTGTGCTTGTGAAGATGCACCTGTAGGAGGGCAACAGGTGAAAAAGATAGAAAACCCTGGTGTTCTTTGCTCTGCTGAGGCAGCGGGAGATATAGATGCCCTTTAGGGAGGGGAGTGGGCAACTGATGATCTTCTGTGTTAATTATTCCATCCATCCATTAGCTAATCCTTCTTTATCTGGCGAAGGGAGCTGGAGCCTATTCCAGCTGACACTGGGTCAGACCTGGACGGGTCGCCAGTCCATCTCAGGGCTAACACAAAGAGATGGGCGGTTATGCTTGCTTACAATCACACCTATGGCTGATTTAGAGTCACGACTTAACCTACCATACATGTCTTTGAACTCCACAAAGAAAGACCTCAGATGACCAACAGGTTCAAACCCAGAACCTTCTTGCTGTGAGCGTTTACCACTGATGATGCTAGTACTGCAAAAAGTTTCTTTATATTTTCTCTTTAAACATCCCAACTTTGCATATGTAAGCACAGAAATGAGAATAAACTTGAAGCGGTTTAACATTTTATTTTGAAAATACTCCTCAGACATGCAGCTGTGTCTGCTGCCTTGACACTGGGCTGCAGCTTCATGCAGTATTTCACTTTAAGTTGCAGTTTTGCCAGTTGCTGTCAGATTCAACGTAGATATATGAATGTCATCAGTATATAAAACCTGGTTCTTTGCTCTAGCATCAGATTATCATCAAACCAAAACATCCACTCAGTTCTATACAGCACACAGCTCATGTTTAAGTACCTACTGTCTATTAGTACTAATAGTTATTTGGAGAACATTTGTTTTATTATTTCAACCAGTGTCAACTTTGAAATTCAAACATAACAATGACTTATTTTCAGCACAATACAATGCATACATATTGTATATTTTCATGCAGTCTATGGCTTGTACCAACTACAATGACGTGTGACTGCCCTCTGCTGGTTGGAAGACAATATTGTTTCCCAAATGAGGAGTTAGAAGTCATGCATGAAAGTATGTGACCTAGATGTGCTGAGATGATGAGAGTCAAAAGAAGGAAAAAAAAGAGGTTTGATTGTAAGAGATTGGGTGATGCAATCAATCTATTCAGACACTAGTCACTCAGATTCTTTATACCAGGGGTGTCCAATCCTGGTCCTCAATCCTGCATGTTTTAGATGTTTTCTTCTTCCAACACACCTGATTCAAATGATCAGCTCAGCATCAAGCTCTGCAGAAGCCTGATAACGATCCTGATCATTTGAATCAGGTGTGTTGGAAGAGGGAAACATCTAAAACATGCAGGATTGTGGCCCTTGAGGACCAGGATTGGACACCCCTGCTTTATACCGTGCTGACAAACACGGCTGGTAGGGGAAAAGTAAGTATCCACGACTAAGTTTGTCATTGAATACACAAGACAATGAGTGTCAAGACAGATCTTAAGTTGTCGTACTTTTACCTTAAAGCACCTTAGCAGGTGTCTGTTGTCCTTTGTGACAGCAGATGGCAGAAACTACAAATGTTAGCCCGTTTGTTTAAATCCTTACATTAAATGACCTTTTGCTGGTGGTGATCTGGATGCTGTTGTCTCTCTTGGTTTCTTTAATGTTGACATCAGACTTACAACACTGTTGGACGTTTCCCGGTGAAGAATTTGCCCGTTTTCTAAGGAAATCACAGCTACAGACATGCAGCAGCCTGTACCTTCCTTCAACCGCCCATTTGTTTACCTTGCTGCCTCACAGGCTTGTTGCATAAACCTAATATTCAGCTTGGAGTTCTGGTGACAGGTCATCTTTGACAGCATGTGAATTGATGACATTGTTTGAAAAGACAACAGGTTATTTCCCAAGACTCCATCTGTAAAACACAGACAATACAATGATTTTCTTTATGCTCTGTGGTTGGTGTTGAAAGTTATTTTAATGCAGCTCTACCCTTTCTAAATCCAAAATAAGTCCATTAGGACTTCTGGGATCTAAAGAACCTCAAATATAATTAATGCCTCCATATCAGCCAGCACATTTATCTGATGGACTCTTTAGATAAAGTTAAGGAACATATAATTGAAGAGTTCACTTTCGAAAACAGATAACGCCACTTTTGTAGATTTTCAGAAAACATAACTTTTGTTGTTTGCTTGAGCTATTATCAATCCAACTGGAGCTGAGTGGATTTGACTCTGTAGAAATGACATAACAAAAACAGAGATAACTTCAGTTTGATTGATGTTGTCTCAGGTCGACGATGGAGGATTGAGTTTTGTGAAGGTTTGCGAAGATGGATTTATGAACTCTTCATTTACATATATTGCCTTACTTGGTGCCATAATGAGGCTTTGTAGTCATGTTCGTGTTTTGTCACCCTTTTTTAATATATTGATTTTTGTGCAATTTGACTTCAATAGGCTACAGTTTTATTATAGTGGGATTTTAAAGAAAAAATACTGTAAGACAGCCACTGCTGGCCTATGCTAAACCTAAAATGCCCTTGAAGGAACTGAATCTGATTTACGAGCACTTGTTTTATCATATAGAACAGAAAAAAAAAAAAACACATTTAATTTCAGATCATATGTGAAGTTTGCAAAGCTATACAATGGAGCTAAAAGCACACAGCTAATGCTAAGTGAAACTCTAGCTGGTGTAATAGCCACTGCTAGCCTAAGCTAAACTCAAATTGCCCTTGACCGAACTGAGTCTGACTTCCTACCACTTGTTTTACCATATCAAACATAAAAAGTATTTAACTTCAAACAACATGCGAAGTTTGCAAAGCTATTCAGTGGAGCTAAAAGCCACAGCTAATGCTCAGTGAAACGCTAGCTAGCATAATAGCCACTGCTAACC